GGCACAGACAGTTTATGAGGAACTGAAGGGAATGAAAACGGGGGAAAGAGCTTGGGCCTTCTGCTCAACCATTTTCCTCTTTCTTCACCACACCCACAGCTCCCTGATCTGTGTACAGCTTTATCCTATTGCGCTGCCTTTGCCCCCCACTCCTCCTGCTCTTCTACCCACAGGAACTCGTTCCTGGAAAGGGTGTAGACGACTTAGGAGGGGCCTGAACCTGGCAAGACGCAGCCGATTGCGATCTCATCTCTCTCAACCTGTCTCAACGGCAGCACAGAGACAGGGACCTCAAGGAGGACAGCTTAATCTGACTCCTTGATCTCTGACAAATTAAGCCAGAGATGTCTCTCCATTGCCAACATTACACAGAAAGCTACATCTGAGGCTATATGCAGTTCAGAGACTGCCTCAGTACTGCCATAGTATGATGAGCTCCACCAGTCTACCCAGCTGCTGCATATGCTCTGCCCACCAACCTCGATGTCATCTTGCATGGTTTAGAAGTCAAAACAGGACCCTTCAGTAATAAGGATATCCCCGGGAAAAGGTAATTCGCTAAATTCCTTTCCACCCGAGGCATCCACCCATAACCCTGCTCCCTCAGACCCCCAACATTTTAATAACTCAAAGCCGAATGGACCACATGGGCAGAGAATGGATGTCTCCACACACTTGACACCTCAGTGTGCAAGCCTGGGAGAAAGGGAATGTCTGGCTGTGGCATGGGTCATCAGTTTTGCTAGCTCATGACACTACGTCTATTATATCAGAGTCATAGATGAGCAATAAGTCCTTGCTTTCCATGAAAGAAATCGCTGAGCGGGCTTTCACTTCTGGCACAAAGATGATGGAGCTGGCGGGAGAGGTGAGAGAAACTCTCTCATGCTCCTCTACCAGCTCCGTCTGAGATTCCCACAATCGTAGCCTGTGCGCTGCCTCAGCAAATGCGGAGCTAGAGCCCTGGGGCTCAGCGTCTTTACTTTCTTCACTCTTAAAGAGAGTCTGCCGGGAGCGAAGTTTTCTCAGTGAGAAATCATCGCAATTAATGCATCCAGACCCCTTGAGGGTTAATCGTGAATGACAATTACACAGCTCATGAGCATCTCCAGGCATTAAGAAACATGGGTACGGAGAAACACAGCACTTGAATTGTCTGCACACCATTATTCTGGTTACCTTTCTTCACACACTGCGGCTTCCTGAAGACAAAGATGCTGATGATGTGTTCTCATGCACCCTTCTTATATGCTGGGGCACACCTTTCGGCGTCTTTGTACTGCGTCGGCCATTGTATGGCGTAGAAGTTCCCTAGAAAAGGAACAGAGGTATATATACTGTGGAGTTAGTATGTTTAAAAAAAAAAAGAATTTAATACTTTTGACAGCAAATATGCATCAAGTTGTCAAAAGTGATAAAAAAGACAATTGTAATGTTATACATTATTCATATTTCAAATTTCTGTAATGTAACATCTGCATCCGCCATCCATTCAATCAACCACCAGAGGGAGCCATCTCCTGAGTACTGAGCACTGCCGGTTCTTCTTGCAGAACTTCCTGTTCCTACCTGTTATAAACCATGTTGTTTGTGCATCATGTTGCGTTAAGTATTGACAGTTTACCCTGTCTTTACCGAGCGTTTCTGATACATTGTTTGTTTGCCAAGTTAATGTTTCTCTGCCTGTTCTTGACCATGGTTTTTGGATTATGGACTTGGATTAGTTTGCTGTTTGGACTGCTGCTACTGTTACCGACCCTGTGTACGTTTGTTGACCATGCTTCCTGTCTTGGATCATACTTTGTTGGTGTTACTGTGCTCAATAAAACACCACATATGGATTAAACTACTCTACTGAGTAAGTCATCGTTACTACCCTGAACAAAATTATAAACGCAACACTGTTTTTGCCCCCATTTTTCATGAGCTGAACTCAAAGATCTAATACCTTTTCTATGTACACAAAAGGCCTATTTCTCTCAAATATTGTTCACAAATCTGTCTAAATCTGTGTTAGTGAGCACTTCTCCTTTGCTGAGATAATCCATCCACCTCACAGGTGTGGCATATGTAACACAGGTTAAATAAAAGTAATTATTTAATTTATACACAATTTAGCAATATCCTGTTCCCTTAATAAAAGTCGATAAGAGATGTAAAAGTTACGAATATAAAATAGATAAATTTGCGAACTCATTTTAGATAGAAGCTTAGTGATCAACCAATGAGAGCTCTTTGTCATTTGCGCCATGGGCGTCAACGAGCATGCGCGATGACAGAAGAGACGAGCTTGATTGAGAAGAGCAGACGCAATCTGATCGTCGTGATCTGTTTTTATACATCTTTGATTGAAAATCTTTGAAATAATACGAGAAAGCTTGAGAATTAATTAGTTGATCCATTCTGAATAAGAAGCCGACTGAATTGAGGAATACATTCTACTTGGTGAGTTAGTATCATATAATTAATGATAAAAAGACTGTATTACTTCATAATACGATAGAATTACTGCTACTAAACTGTAACTTAGTTGCTGTGGACTGGTTATTTTCTCTTAAAATTGTATTTTGATCCGAGTAGTCATAAATGTCTGAAGTAAACCGCGTGGTCATTGTACATTGCAGTTCACCGACGCCATTTTATGATCACGCACGCCTGTAGTTGCGCCTGTGTGAGAGCAAAAGAAAAATCGATCACAAAGGTAAATAATTAGTTAATCAATTCTGTGAAAAAATATATTTGTACTTTATGTTACTGGTTATCTGATTACTTCAGTTGAGCGGTTATAGTGAACCGCATGGTTATTATTTGTTCATTTCAGAGTTCACCGTCGCCATTGTTGGCCACGTGTCTGTATTAGAGAGAAAGCTATTGATTCAGAGGCCAGGTTTTTTTCTCTTTCCTTTGTTTTTTTTCCGTTTTCTTTTCTTTCTTCTTGATACCTTGGAGACATGATGACTGCACGACCTTCTGTGACATCCTGTAGACTCCGTGTTTGATGGCGAGCCAACCCAGTTTCTAGAAAGGGAGAAGACATCACTTCGTGGAGAGGAGGCCGTTATCCTTTCCTTGAGTTTTCAGGGCTACTCGTGGAAACACGACAACTTCGATCTTAAGAACTGCTTTTTTTTTTCCTTTTCTTTTTGAGTGTTGAACTGACTATGTGGGTACATATTTGAAAACACCGACAAGAGTGCACTCGTGGTGGAAATTTTCATTGTCAATTTTATTGTTTATTGTTTATGTGATCTTGTAATTTACATTTATAAATTTTCTATTTTTTCCTTTCAAGTAAAACCAATTATATTTCTAATTCAATCTTGTATCTGTCTGTTACTTCTCATGTTAACCCGCTGTCTCCTTAGCGATCCCTGATTCTTCTGACGGAATTCAAATTTTATCTGTATTATAACAGTAATATAAAAAGTCTATTAAATTACTGCAGACGAGTGCTACACATATCAAGATGCTGATTAGACAGCATGATTATTGCACAGGTGTGCCTTAGGCTGGCCACAATAAAAGGCCACTCTAAAATGTGCAGTTTTATCACACAGCACAATGTCACAGATGTCGCAAATTTTGAGGGAGCATGCAATTGGCATGCTGACTGCAGGAATGTCCACCAGAGCTGTTGCCCGTGAATTGAATGTTCATTTCTCTTCCATAAGCCGTCTCCAAAGGCGTTTCAGAGAACTTGGCAGTACATCCAACCGGCCTCACAACCACTGACCACGTGTAACCACACCAACCTGTCTCGACCTGACTGCAGTCTGGCACTTTGGAGAGGTGTTCTCTTCACGGATGAATCCCGGTTTTCACTGTACAGGGCAGGTGGCAGACAGCGTGTATGGCATCGTGTGGGTGAGCGGTTTGCTGATGTCAACGTTGTGGATCGAGTGGCCCATGGTGGCGGTGGGGTTATGGTATGGGCAGGCGTATGTTATGGACAACGAACACAGGTGCATTTTATTGATGGCATTTTGAATGCACAGAGATACCGTTAAGAGATCCTGAGGCCCATTGTTGTGCCATTCATCCACGACCATCACCTCATGTTGAAGCATGATAATGCACGGCCCCATGTTGCAAGGATCTGTACACAATTCCTGGAAGCTGAAAACATCCCAGTTCTTGCATGGCCAGCATACTCATCGGACATGTCACTCATTGAGCATGTTTGGTATGCTCTGGATCGGCGTATACGACAGTGTGTTCCAGTTCCTGCCAATATCCAGCAACTTCGCACAGCCATTGAAGAGGAGCGGACCAACATTGGCCACAATCAACAACCTGATCAACTCTATGCGAAGGAGACATAATCTAAGCCTAAGGCACACCTGTGCAATAATCATGCTGTCTAATCAGCATCTTGATATGCCACACATGTGAGGTGGATGGATTATCTCGGCAAAGGAGAAGTGCTCACTAACACAGATTTAGACAGATTTGTGAACAATATTTGAGAGAAATAGGCCTTTTGTGTACATAGAAAAAGTCTTAGATCTTTGAGTTCAGCTCATGAAAAATGGGGGCAAAAACAAAAGTGTTGCGTTTATAATTTTGTTCAGTGTATTAAGAAGCACAGCTGTTTTTAACTTTGATAATAATAATGGTAATGATAATATTTTCACCAAATCAGCATATTAGAATAATTTATTGAGGATAATGTGACTCTGAATGGAAAACACTACTAAAATGGAAACAGTTGTTTTTAATTATAATACAAATGTCACCATATTACTGTTTTTACTTTTTTTGATCAAATAAATACAGCCTTGGTGAGCTTCTTTTAAAAACATTAAAGACATCTTACTGACCCAAACTGACGTGTGTATGAAGACTGGCACTGAAGACATATATATATATATATATATATATATATATCCTCAGGGGCATTGTGCATATAATTAGTGTGTTTCCCCATGCAGTTCATTGTCCAAATTATAAATTGCAATTTCTCTGCCATCTGCTTCTTTTCTGTCTGTCTCCACCCTCAGGCTGTGTGGGTTTGAACCATTTTTCGATCCAAGGGGGGACCAGTACATGTACAGTCGCATTCTGAATTGTGATTATGAGTTTGTCTCCCCCTGGTGGGATGAAGTCTCTCTCAATGCAAAGGATCTGGTGAGTAATGCATGCTAACATATCATTATTGTCCTGTTTGTAACGCTGATGATTTCCATGCACTGCAGATAGGAGAGAAGAGTGTCAAAATATCAAAGGCAGACTCAGATGCTAATTTGCTCTTAATAATTTTCTCTAATAAGCTCTTTTTGTTTATTCATTATTAGCTGTTGGTTATCTTTTTTATGTTGTCTGTAGGTAAGTAAGCTCATTGTGCTGGACCCTCATAAACGTCTCACAGTGAAACAGGCTCTGGAACACCCATGGGTGCTTGGAAAAGCAGCACGATTCTCCCACATGGACACAACACAAAGAAAACTACAGGAATTTAATGCTCGGCGAAAATTAAAGGTCAGTCATCACTGCCCTGCTACGTTTTAGAGTCCAATGAAAAAGAAAGAAAGAAAGAAAATCTTTTAAAAATCTAGTCTACACACATGTGCCGAATTCTTAGAAATGTCCTCTTTGTATTCACATTGGTCTCATATAATAAAAAAAACGTATATACCATTAAGAAAATGTAAATGACTTGTACCTTGCATACAGTGTACATCATAAAAAAGAGGGCATAGTCAGAATTGCGAGTTTTTTCAGAATTGCGAATCAGTTTATTTCTCACAATTCTGACTTTATATATATATATTTAGTAATTAATTAATTATAATTACTGATAAAATTTTTTTTTATCTTTTGATCAGAATACCACATCAGAATTGCGAGATATAAAGTCAGAATTGCATGATATAAAGTCAGAATTGGGAGATATAAACTTGAATTGCGAGATATAAACTCACAATTGCGAGAAATAAACTGATTCGCAATTCTGAATAAACTCGCAATTCTGACTTTGCCCTCTTTTGAGTTTATATCTCGCAATTCTGACTTTATAACACGCAATTGCGACTTTATATCATGCAATTCTGACTTTATATCATGCAATTCTGATTTAAAAAGTCAGAATTGTGAGATACAAAGTCGCAATTACCTTTTTTTTTTATTCTTTATTCTGTGGTGGTTTTTTTGCATATTGTTTGCACTACATGACTTTGTTAGTAGCACCAGATGACTTTGATTTGGCAAATTAAAGTTATATTAATTTTTAATTAACTACTTAAATATTTAACAATAAATAATACAATAATATGTTTATAACTGTAACGTGTGTATTCTGTTAAGTTCAGTTTGAGTCTTGTTAGGGCCCAAGCCCTGAAAGGGCGAAGGCACTATTGTTTTCTTTAGGATTATTATTAGGGCCCAAGCCCTGAAAGGTACACATATAGATATCATCGGGCCAAACAACTTTCGTACTCTTACTTTTTACGCCAGCCCAATAGGAAGTCGGCTATTAAGGATTGTTTGGAAACGCATGCTATGGAATTTGAAATACTCCTCCTAGGGAATTCATCCAATCGCCACCAAAATCGGTGTGCATGAACTCAAGCCATTGAGGATTTTGATAATCTTGATAATTTGATATATCAAACGGTTTGGCTGTGGCGCGGAAACAAATTTATGGCGAAAAAGGGAAACAGGAAGTGTGTTATAACTTCAGCATACATTAACTGATCTTGATGAAACTTCAGCTGTGTGTTTGTTGTACGAGGCCGATCACATGGATGTGACTGTTGTGAGTCAAATTTATAGCGCCACCAACTGGCAGCAGGAAGTGTGTCACTTTCAAAATGCTTTGAAATCACCCTCTTATTTTTACCCGAATTGCTCAAAACTTTATCTGTATAATATTTTGTACAGATGTACAGATATAACTTTATCTGTACATGGCAGATGTAGACCTGCGAAAGGATTATTGATATCTTAAATACTGTTGCCATGGCAACGCATCTTTTTGTATACTTTTGAGGCTCTTAACATGCTTCAAATTGCATGAAACTCAACATGCACATAAGAGATGTCAGACAGTAGATATGGTCCGAGTTTCAGAAACGGCTTGGTGGAGGGGCTTAGTAGCGCCACTATTTGACAAAAGTGGGGGATTAGTTTTACCTACAGTCACAAAACTCGGTACGTATATTGTTCTCATCGAGCTGGACAACTTTCTCATTTAAAGTCATTAGCTCCGACCAACAGGAAGTCAGATATTTTGGTTTGAATGTGGATTTGTTTACAAAATCAGCCTCTGAATTTTAACCCACTCCTCTTAAGTGGTTTATTTTATTCCCACCAAACTTTTTCAACATGATGAAAATACATTAAAGGTGCTAAATTGTGAATGGCTATTGAATATCTCAAACGGTTTTGCTATGGCGAGGGATTAAAGTCATGTCAAAAAAGGAAACACTAAAACACTAAAACATTAAAAAATTTAACTATAGACCATTTATTTCTATATAAAATTATACAAATATCAGAACTAAAACCCTTTTATTCTGTTTTTTCAATTCAAGAAGTATGAAAAAGTTAAAAACAAAAAATCATACATAGGTCTATACTGCCCTCGTGTTCAAAATTATATCAAAGTAGTACATACAACTTTTTATCAGGTAGGCCTATTGTATTTATATATAAATATATTAGGTATGTGACTGTGAGGATATTTTCCTACCTGTTAATCGACGTGTGACACCGGCGGGGGCTTTTAAATCGCTAAAATTAAAGTGAAAGTAAAATACTCACTTCCGCACGGACATTGATAATGGTGCGGAGCGGAGCGAGCGTTTTCAATTAATTCCTATGGAAGTAGAAATGAACTAAAACACATTCGCTCTGTTCTGCTCGCTCCTCGCCGTGGACGCACACCGCTATGAATCGTGCACTTTTTAGTTTCACTTTAAAATTAGCGCCATTTAGAAAAACCAAACTGGATTTACCCACCTGTCCAGCAAAAACAGAGCTACCTGAATGACGGATTGGAAGCCCTTCTGCCGGTGGAGTTCTCGCCACCTTTTGAAGGCTTTTACAATGTAAATTCAGGACTTCGCACATTCCTTCTCCTTTTCCCTCTTCTTTGCAATCTGTTCATCGGAATGTCGTCTCTTTGGTCGTGTGTCGGCCATATCAAACTTAAAGAGAATCCCTCTTCTTGCTTCTCTCTCCTCCATACCCCCTTCATGTGTACGCGCACTAACCCCCCAAATCCTTCTTGTCGGTTATTGGCTGGAACACTGTTTGTTATGTTTCGTGGTGCGAGTTGCCCCAGTTTGTTTTTGTTGCTGTTTGTGGAGCCTGGGGTGTCTATAGAGACCACGTTTTTTTACAGTGTGTTCAGGGAACAGGCAGCTAGCGGTGAGGAGATGTTTGCTGTATGTGACAAAAAAAGTTTTGGCCTAAAAAACGCGTGACATCGCTTAGAGCACCTTTTACAATCGTTGGAAAGAATGATACTTTTAAACATAACACTAAACCACCATTAGGTGTCGCCAGGCGACCGTCTTAATGAGCGAGTCATTGATTCATTCGTTCAAATGATTCGTTCATTCGTTCAACGAGTCATTCAAAAATGAGACAGATGTTTATGGATTGATCATTGAATCTTTGAGTCAACCGATTCGTTCAAAATGCTGAATCATTCAGTAATGTTGCTGTGAGATGTGGGATGGTTAGGCTGATCGATTGCTCCTGTCTGCCTCGCTGCCTGCTGTGTGTTTCTCTGCTTCGAGGTTTGCTTCGAGGTTGTAAGCTCCGCCTGAGCCTCGTATTTTCTTTCTGTTTTGAGCCATCATTTACTATCATTTCTAGTTGTTTATACTACTAAATACAGCTTACCCAACATCTCAGATTAACCTTACATCTCTAGCTTCCGTTATTGTTAACACAGCACGCTAGTAACTCGCTAACGTTAGCCTGTTAACGCGCTCATTTATTTATTTTCTCTCGCGCGCCCGCGCCTTTGAGTTCATAAAAGCCCGGGTAAGTAAGAATCAGTCAACAAACACGGTGAGTAATGTCTTCCTGTCCTTTTATTGTCACCTGTGTCACGTGTCATATGTTTAGTATAGCCTTCTCCGATGGCAATATAGGATTTATATGTGATAAATGCAAGGAGACAGTCAGGCTGACGGAGAAGATTTCAGAACTAGAGACACGCATCCAAACTTTAATTGAGGATAGTAAGGATAGTACTAGAGCTTCAGATACTATTTTGGATGCGCCTAGCATAGTGAACCCTTTACATGATTCGGTTCCGGCTGAAGTAGAGCCTGTGCAGCAGGGCAGATGGGTGACAGTTAGGGATCGCCACTCTAGTCGCGGATCAAAGAACCACTCTTCCGTTCCGATTCCCATAACAAATCGATTTGCCCCACTCAGTGAAACACCCACTGAGAATTCTGTTGATTGTGCCCTGGTAATTGGTGATTCGATCACACGGAACGTGAAAATAGAGACACCAGCCACCATAGTCACATGTTTGCCTGGAGCCAGAGCGCCTGACATCAAAGCAAATTTAAAAATGCTGGCTAATGCTAATCGTAAATTCTCTAAGATCATTATTCATGTCGGCACTAATGATGTTCGACCCCGCCAGTCGGAGATCACCAATATTAATATTAAAGAGGTGTGTGAACTCGCAAGTACGATGTCAGGCACTGTAATTTGCTCTGGCCCCCTTCCTGTACGCAGGAGTGATGAGATAGTTAGCAGATTGGCCTCACTGAATCGCTGGTTGTCTGAGTGGTGTCCGCATAATAATGTAGAATTCATAGACAATTGGAAAAGTTTTTGGGGCAAGCCTGACCTGTTGAAAAGAGATGGTATTCATCCCTCCTGGGCTGGTGCTGCTCTTCTCCCTAGTAATTTGGCTCATAGTCTTAGAGCTAAAACATGACAAATTGGGGCTCAGGTCAGGAAGCAGACAGACTGGCTAAACCGACCGTCTGCTAGCGGCCTCGCGTCACCAAGGTCAGATAAATCCCATCACATAGAGCCTCTTTCACCTAGATATCATCATATAGAGACTGTGTCTGTTCCCCGAATTTGGAAATCCAAAAAACGTCAGGTTAAAAATTGAATTGATGTTCAACAAATAAAAAACAGATATAATACAGATGAGCAAATGATAAAGCTTGGGTTGCTGAATATTCGATCCCTTACTCCAAAATCGCTCATAGTTAATGATATGATTTCAGATTATAATCTAGATGTGCTGTGTTTGACAGAAACCTGGCTAAAACCAAACGATTATATTACTTTAAATGAGTCCACCCCACAAGATTACAGTTATAAACATGAGCCTCGTCTGAAAGGCAAAGGGCGAGGTGTTGCTGTAATTTATGATAATGTTTTCAAAACCACTAAGAAATCTAGTTTTAAATATATTTCTTTTGAAGTGTTGGTGCTTAATGTAAAAATATATAGTGTAAACGATAAATCACATTTGAGAATTATGCTGGCTA